AAGGCAAATCAGTTCCTAGATCTATTTTCAATTCAGCTTCTCTCCAGTTGTCTTTGTGTGAGTCTAATCGATCCATGATAAACCTGGAAACTTATTAATTACATTTAATTGAGTCCTTACAACAGAACYGCATAYAATATACATACCTTCGCTCCAATCGGATCCGTCTCAACTGTTTGGCCACTTGATGTATCCTGTGAACTAGACGTTCATTATCCTTAAACACATAGATTACATGCATAAACAATCAAAAAATAAAAGTAGTATTGAAGCAGAATTATATGTAAAAGGTTTAAGCCCTGGTAAAGTGATTAGCAGAAATCTGTTTTACTTATGCAACAAATTACATGACTACATAAGATGTGGCACAATCCAAACATTTTACCTGCTGTATGATTTCGCATCGTTCCAAGAGGGCCAAAAAATGCTGTTTGTAAAGCTTTTTCTTTTTTGCTGGGCGTTCGTTCACATCCACTTCTGTTGAAGTCGACAATGCTGGCATTGCTAAAGCGGCCGTGGCCAAAGTCTCTTGGTCAGAGTTTTCCATCGATAATAACTATCGTGCCATTGCACCAGTAACGGTTAATATCAAGCTGTGACACAACAGGTAAGGTACAGTTTAAAATATATAATAATTAATAACAATAATAACGAATCATTACAATTCAATCAATACTCGGCGTCTGACAACAATCGACGAGAAACCGGCCTCCCTCAAGAACAAAACAACCGTTTTATCAGTCCGATGTCGAGTGATAACGCAGCTGTTGTATTTTCATGGGCATCTGTGACAATAATAATATTTCACGTGCATAATAATGATTAGGCAACCACCACACGAAATTCGACCGCAGTGGTAAGTTGAACACGTTCTATGGTGTCGCTGTCCCGTATTGTTATTACTTTTCGTGCGGTTAACGTTTTAAGAAACACTGAATCGGCGAACTACTGTTTTTTGCCCCACTGAGCCAAACTGCCAAACAGCTGTAGCCTGTAATCCGCCGCACTGCCGCAGTACCACCGCGCCGTACGCTTCGTGTACGGTKTAGAACCATAGRTTGTTTCATTTCGTTTTTAGCGGTTTTGTAGATATTAATTCCGTTTCTCCACTCCAAACAGTCGAAACTTTACGATCTGCACAATAGCCGATTGTACACGCGCATGTTTTCACTAATTTACTGTTATTTGTTATTTATACGTTACTTTACTGTATATTACACTTGTTTCACCCTGTCACACGGTTTCTAACACCTATTGTTTTAATTTTTAGTTATTCGTTAAACCCCTCGAATATAAATATATATATTTTTTCTATACATTATATATATTTATGTATTTGGAGAAATAGTAACACTAATAACCGAGCTAGTWATAGCATAACAGTTATAAATCCTGGTGCATTTGAGTATACCTATTATACAATCGTATATAAGACGGTCGCGCGTAAATAGTAATTTAGTCGCATGCTATAATATTTTGGTATATTTCAATGCAATAAAATAGTGAACAATATAATATCAAAAATTCGCGTCCGGATCACTACGCGTCCGAGATTCAAAAATGTTCTACGACTGTGGTTTCTAGCAAAGGTAAGCTATTCATTCCTCGTATCCCTTTTCGATTGGCTGCTTCTATAGGAATCCAATAAATACCTACATAGAAATAGAACGTTAATACTAAATAGGTACCTATTATTCAGATATTCTGCGTAGTTCGGTTGGAAATTAACAAGATAATGTATACATTATTTATTAATGGAAACTGTATTGACTATCGTCAAAATAATTTTTGATTAGTACATAATATTTTGTTATAGGTACCTATCAAGTTTAGTATAATTTAAATTATGAATTATCACTATAAGTACCTGTTAGGTATGTTTAGGTTAAAGTGACTGCACTTCTAGGCTACTACTATATGGGTTATAACCCTTGGGTTCTCATTAAGGTTACTGTGGACAGTGGTACTATGTTTTCACTTGTTCTATATAAGTTAATTTAAAAAGTTTTTTGCAGTTGSCTGCATTTTTGATACAATATAATCACAATTTTTTTGTTTTTAGACTGTCTAAATCTGTTTTTATAATATTTTAAATATATATTAATAGATAGGTATAATTATTTTACACTATTTATTAAAAATGATATACCTAAATAAATAAAACTAATAACACAAAATTGAAACTGTTAAATGTAAATTTGCTAGGTATGGTGTGCTTAATTAAGAGCGAGAATACAATTAGTGTGATGACATCCTTCTAAGATAAAAAATATATCTTATTTTTTAAAGGGTAAAATAAAAATCTGACAAAAGCAATTGACATTTAAATAAATATGAATTTGATAATTTACTAGGTACTTTAAATGCTATTGTAAGATCCGTTCATCATCGTTCCACATTATAATATCAACAGATACACATAATGCAATGAGACAT